TCATTTTATCCTATTCTCCACTTTACCAACCACCTCCAGCACAGGCACTGGTGGGGGAAAGTCCCACGGCCTTTGGAGTCTCCACGAAGACACCCCTAACCACGCAGTATTCCCCTGTGTTTCAGGTACATCCAGGATGCAGAGGTATTCACGTCTAGTGCCTTCACTTTACCTGGAACATAGTTTTTTTCACGGACAAATCTGACCTAATGACTTGATGGAAGAGCTGCACCTGCAATGGCATGTCCACTGCAAAGCAAAGACCGCCTCATTCGCAGTGGCTCATGAACCAGAGCACTCACCACAAGCCCTCCCCATCCAAGGTCCATATCCATGCTATGCCATATGCACCTTGGTCACGCAGCACCTGATAGAAGACTGGAAAGAATGCAAGAGAGACCTATCTGCTGTCCCTCACTGGCAGTACCAAAGGCATAAGTAGGAGCCCTAATTTGTCCCTTTCTGGTCAGAAGCAGCATGGTTTCATTCTACAGCCCTGCTCTTCCTGTTCTCCGTTACAGACCGAATTCACCACGAGCTACAAGCAGCAGTAAGCACGGCTGGTCCTTGACGGTGCCTGGGGAACCGCCTGTGGGAGCTTCACTCAATCCCATTTCCATCTGAGCCACATTCACAGCCGGGAATATCCCGCTGCAACCCAATTAGCGACGGCTGCTGTCATGTGCTGGGGCCGCGCTCTCCTTTACACACACCCCCCCTTCCAAAGGGAGATGAAAGAAGAGCTGGAGTCTGCAGGCACCTCCCTCATGCTCGGCTCCGGCAGCTGCCTCTAACAGATAACCTTCTGCATCACTGCAAGGGCTAAAGCTCTGCTGAAACTCCCCAGTCTGCAGCTGAAAGCAGATGAAAAGAAAAATGAGAGGAGATGTGGATTCTCCTCCGGAAACCCAAGTCAGGCTTCAGCAAGAAACATGTAGTCCCTCCCCACACATGGCTGTGCTGCTTGACCTCCAGAGAGACAAGAGAGAAAATAGCTTTAAGCAACGTCCTGTTCAGATCAGCAGGCACTGAGTTTCACTCAGTCCTAAATTGTTCTTGCTCTGCTTTGGCTTTTGAGCATGTAGAGATAAGAGCTTTGCTTGAGGAATTCAGTGCAGGAGAAAGGGAAGCAAACAAACTCTGGTGGTTCAGCTCATGTCTCGAAGCTTCCTTGCAGCACCTCTAACTGAACAAAGGCAAAACCTGAGGCTCAGAGCTGTGAAATTCCAATTGTACAGGCAAAACAAAAGAATACATCCTTCCCAGCTGCCCTGAAAAGCAGCACTTCTTGTTTCCTCAGCAAAGAAACCGAACAAGCCTGATAATCCCAAACTTCATGAAAACCCTGACCATGATTGCTGCAACGGGGTGATGCGATCATTGAAGAATTTACTGACTGAAACAGAAATGGAGAAGGAACAGTCACAGCAAGAGAACTTCTCAACCAACGTCCACTTCTCCAGCTCCCAGAGAGCAATCTGGGGCATGCTTCCTCTCTCCTGTCTTGCTGGTTGAGTCCTTTAGCACTAACATGTGAGGTCTCAATCTGCAAACCCAGGAGAACCCGGAAAGCTTCGTGCCAGCTGGCCCTCCCTGAGCACACAGCCTCTGCAGGTAAGGAGGTATGCCACTGCTGTGCACCTTCCACAGAACTTTCAAGTCTATTTGCTGCCTTGGACAAAAACAAACAGAACATTGGTTGGCTTCAGAGACGAACACGAGATCTGTGGTCAGAACCAATAACCAGACAGTGTCCAGCAAGAAACAATTATGTTTGCATTGCCTCAAGGAAGATGTGTGAACAGAGACAGCAGCCCCAGTACATCTCACATCAGCTCACCATCACTGCTACGAGCAGAGGAGCAGAGCCAGAGCATCACCACGCATCAACCAGCCCCTGAGGGCTGCACAGAGACAAGCCTGGCTCCTGCCCCACCACACCTGCATCTTCAGCAGGCTGCAAATGCAGGAGCCTGCTTGCTCTCCTTGCTGCTAGCTAAACATCCAGCCTTGATGCTCTGAAAGAGCCCAGAGCTCCCACTCTGCACCTGCTGCTGCACTGTCAGGGCTGCTGCTGCTGCACTGTGTGGAATGATTCAAGCCCTTGGTACAGTACCACTGGTGAGGTAACAGCCACCAATCACTGTGACCCACGGCAGCCTTCCTGAATCAGCATCTGCTCCAATAGCAGGAATCAAAGCACAGACATGGGGGAGAATGACTTTTTGGCATCCTTATCCAACCCTGACAGCACTTTCCCAAGAGACTCTTTCCTGCCACATCTTCCAGTTTCACACCAAGTTCTTTTTTTGAATACAGTCTCTGGATATCATCCTATGTAATGATGCTCTCAGGTCTGTGCACCCAGGAACTGAGTGCAACCTTGCAGAGACCTGCTGGAAGCAAAGCGTTGCCATTCTGTCAGGGTGTCAGCATAATCCATACGGATGTACCCACTAAACCTTCCAACACAACAGAGGGGAGGAAAGGCGTCAGTGCCTCCCTCCCGGAAGCCTGATCTCTAAGCTTCCCACCTAGCTCATGCCAGCTAAGCCAGCCTCAGCCTACAGTGTCCTGGGCTGTATGGACAGGAGCACAACCAGCGGATGGAGAGAGGTTACCCCCTCCCTCTACCCAGCACCCATTAGACAGCACCTTAAATCCTGGACCCGGTTTTGTGCCCTACAGCATAAGAAAAGCATTGATAAAGTGGACCAAGTCCAACAGAAGAGCACCAGGATGGCCAGGGGCTGCAGTACCTGCCCAGTGTTTTGCAGTCTCCACCCTTGGAGTTGTTCCAAGCACAGACTGCATAGAGATGTGTAAAGTGAGTAATCTTGTTTTATCTCATACCTGACCCTGCTTTCAGCAGGCGGCTCAATGAGATGACCTCTGAGGTCCCTTCCAGCTGGCATTATCATATGAAGATCTGGCTAGCTCTGCATGCTGTGTCCAGCAGTGACTGATACTGAATGCAAAGAGCAGGCAGTGCCCCCCAGCCTCTGGCAAGCATCATTTTCGGCACTTCCCGAGCACAGATGACAGCACTGTGTCGAACAGGATAACTCCCCATGAATTTTTAATACTTCGTCCTCCACAACTGCTCCTGTGCTACAACACAGAAACCAAACAGGTGCCTCAAAGTGCATCAGCAGCACGATGAGGGGCACTCCATGACCCCACGTCTCCTCTACTGTGCCTATTCTATTCTCCGTCTAATGCTCACTCCCTCTCTGCAACTTGAGAGCAGGGATCCATGTAATCACGGGCCTTAAAGCTCACCATCCCTTTCCCACTAAGCAGCTTCCACTTCTACAAGGTAATGGCTCCATAACCGTTTCCCCATCACCCAGAGGAACTGCAAGATCAAGGCTGAATTGCTCTTACTTTTGTATTCCAGGTGAAAGCCAGCAGCAGAGACACTGATATCCGAATAGAAATGCAGATAGAGCTGGTTTGAAGTGCTGTTGAGCAGCGCAGGCACTGTAGTTCCTGGGAAAACAAGAAGTGCACAAAGATACTGAAGAGGATTCTTTTTTCCTCCTCCATGTCCTTGGAGACTAGCTGCAGAAGAGGCTGAGAACAGAAAGTCCTTTAACTTAACAAGCTCTCCTGGTTTTGATCAGGTTCTAATGAGGCCAATTGAGAAATACCCAAGGCTTCTCTGCAATGGCCTTTTCGAAGTCTGCTCCTGAATTCCGTCATGTGAAGTTTTACCACTTACAGACCAGACAGATGAAAAGCCTGGAGAAGGGAACCGGTGATGAGGAACAATGTAGGTGGAGCACAGGTCCCTCGCGAGGTCCCAATTCCTTCTCCCACCTCAATCCCTGGAAGCTGTTGCAGCACCGGGTCAAGGCAGTTCTATCCCAAACACAAGAGCTGGGAGCAGAGCCTGCTTGTCTTTGTGCATGACCTTTCTCCTCACCAGCCTCAAAGGACTTGTAGCACACATGGCTCATTAAATAACCAAGAATCGGGGCCATCAGCTTGCAAGTGGCTCTGCTATTGGAACGTTCTACAGTGCTTTTGGGCTGCTTGCTCCCCCCTGCTTTGCTAAAAGCCACCATCCCCACTGCTGGGCAAAGCAAAGGTTGTTTTGTAGCTCTTCAACCACCGAACCTGCCAAGTGCAGAGGTCTGAGCTGTCCCCACCAACCCAGCAGTGCTGTGGGAACTCCCACTGCAGGCTGTGGAAGTGCTCTGGCCTTCTGCAAAAAACCCAAAACTAACCCACCGGCTTTGTGTTTAAGGCTTTATCAGCATTTTCTGCAGGAAGACAGCAGTCAAGTTCCCAATTCAACAAAGCATGAGATGCCCTTTAAGCATATATGCTTAATTTTAGGGATGTGCTGCAGTCCAGCTGATGTGAACAGGAATTGAGCATGCACTGATGGGCTTCCCCGAACGTGATGCTGACCACGTACCAGAGAAACTTCCCAGCATGGTGGCTGTGTTATCTCCTCCATCAAACACTTCCAGGGAATCCCAGTTCTGCTCAGTAACAAAACTGATCACCTGGATCTAAAGAGAAAAAAGACAAACCAGTGCAACTCCTGCAATCTTTGAATCATCGAACAGTTAGGGTTGGAAAGGACCTTAATATCATCTAGTTTCAACTGAAGAGAGCTCAGTGCCCTGCAAACCTTGACTGTGCACACACATGTACATGCATGTGGGTGCACACACACGCTCATACGCACACCCATGCTCACCCTGACCTCTGATCACTCTGTGACTCCCCCCCCATTTTCCTGCAGTGCTCTCACCCTGTGTTCACTCCTGCACTCAAATGTCCCACTTGCATTTGCCCTGCTAAACATCAAAGAAAAAATACATATTTAAACACATAATAAAACCCTCAACCCCATTACTTCTGCCATTTTAACCTTTTTTCCTCCTTGATTTCTTCTGAATAATAAAGCTGGCTATAAAGCTCCCGCAAAGTCTTTCCCTCCTCCAAATCAGTTCATCTAACTAAAATTGCAGTGACCCCCCCCCAGCCATTACTGTTCACACTGACCAAGTCAATACCTTTCTCCCTCCATAACTCATAATTACACCCCTATTGTGATTTACATCATTGCAAGAGAATGTGGACTGAGATTGTGTATTTTGTTTGCTCTTACATTTCCTAAATTATTTATTCTCCTCCCCCCCCCACAACTCAATGGAATAAACATTTTTAAGGTCCTAATTCTAGTCTGACATGTGGATTCACAAGGGATCTGCATCTATTTACTGCCATGTATATAAATTAATTCACTCAGGAAGGTTTGCTACAGGGATGAATAATTCATGGCAGAAGTGCTGGCTCGTACACTGATTACATAAAACTCCTGCTAGTGACTCGCCACTACCAAGAAAGCTTTTATTTCACCTCCTCCTCTGATTTACAGTTGTTTAACCTTTAATTGTTGTACAAAATGAGGGTAAACTGATGCTTAAATTAGTATCTAACACCTGAGAATGTTGCACACAAAAGCAGGTGACCGAGAAGCAGAGCCGATGGGAGTGGGATGGGGTTACGCAGTGGGTCCAGCTCTGTGGTGGCCATCACCCTGCCTCTGGGCTGCTCCCCAACCCACAGCTCCTGCACAGGGCTTCACTATGGCTGTTTTATTTCCTGGGGGCCAATCCCTTTTTCCATGCCCTCTTCCCCCACAGAAGACTTCCAGTGGAAGCCCCAGGGTCAGAAGCTGATGTGATCAGGACCAACCTGTGTCTCAGGGCAGAGCTGAGGGGTGGCGGGTCCCTTGTCACACAGACCCATGGGCTAAGTGGCAGCCAGGGTATCATTCAGAACTCTGCAGTGCAGAACACGGCACCTATTTACAGCCCTTTAAAAATTAAGTGAATTATCACCCCTGATCCCGGGAGTACTGAGCAACTTGCAAACTGCCTCAACCAGTCCAATGTTTGGCTGAGCTAAATGGATTCTCCTGTTGTTTGGGGGTTTTGAGAACAGCTAAAATTTCAGATGAACAAGAAAGTATTGATGGTGAACAGTAAGGCTTTTGAAAACACTGTTTTAAATGGCTTCAAAAGCAAAGAGGAGAGCAGAATTTGCTGGACTGGACATGGCAAAAGCCTGGCACATGGCTCAAAATACTACTCCAAGCTGCTTTACTGTGAAGCCCCCAGTGCTGCTGGACCAGTTCTGCCCATCCCAGATCCAAGTTCAGGCTTTGTTCAGGAGCAATGATAGTGACACCAGGTGAGATTCCCCATCTGGGAGAGCAGAGCTGTAATCCAGCAAGGCAGAAGAGATGTTTCAATAAAACCACTGAGAGAAACACAACTGGTGGATGCCAGCAGCTGTGAGTGCTGCAGAGGGAGGAACCCACCTACAAATCCATTTGCTGAATCCATGATAGAGAAATAAAAGCACTTAATGAACAACGCTTGCAAAGTGGTGTAAAGAAGAAAGAAACCCTCTGATAATGAGGCCTGTGGAGTGAATGAACCTGTTACAGAGTCCATCTGCTGTGTGTCAACCAGCATCAGCCTAACGCAGGGTGAGATGCTTTCTGTGAGGACAAGGCGTGTATGTGCAGAATGGGGACTTTATCTCAGGTTTGGTCTCTGATTTGGGCTTAATTCTCAGCATCCTCTAGCTTGCAGAACTCTTTCTGCAGAGGAATGATAAGGACCACAAAAAGACCTGAAGAGAGAGCTCATTTACCTGGAGACAATGAACAGCAAAGCAGTAATTGTATAATCATACTGCTGCAACTCTGCTGGCATAACAAATCCACGCAGGCACTCTGAGCAAGCAACTCTGCCTTGGTGTCGCTTACATTGCTTTCAACATTGCATAATTAAGTGGTATAAAGATATATGCCCAAAATACCACAATTATTTTGTTACACCAGAACAGCCACATAGCTCCAGTTCATCTCCCACAGAGAGTGCCTCCAGGAGGCAAAAATCCATTGAAATATTACCCACTTTTGGCACTCATAGTATCAACGAACGTCTGATCCCAGAGAACATTCAACTGATCTTTTTCCTGTGAGGAGCAGCAACTTCATCACATGTGGCCTCTTTAGGTGCACCAGATAGTGTGTGTTCTCCTCTCCAGCCCATCCTGCAGTGAGAGCTGCTGACCCCGTACCTGTATCCCTGCTCCTTCGGGGACTGTTATCTTCCACACGCAGTTGAGGCTGTTCAGGTACGGCTCCGGGAAGCCAGGGGACAGAATGGTTCCTTTGCGCTCAGTCAAATTCCCACCACATGGCACTGCAATAAGCAAAGGACCATTTGGAAGAGGAAAGACTTGGCTTTATGCTAAAAACATTCTTTTTGAAACATCTGTCCGCAGACAAAAAAGCAAACAGAACTGGCTCACGATTTAAGGGTAAGATTTGTATGAATAATCGCCTTTTTAGTAACTCTCTCATACAAGTTCTAACAGTAGCAGCGTGTGGTCCTTAGCTGTGGGGAACACTGTGTTCATCAGCCCATGAGATCGGTTCTGTAGGAACTGCTCTCCTCCAAAGAAGGTGAAAGCAGCTTTCAGACAGATCTGATTTATTCTAGATACTGTCCCAGATCTCACAACGAGTATTAGATTAAAAGGTCCTTGACGTGACTCTTGGGGTTAACTGCCCCTGTTCGTAGGCAGAGGGACCTTAAAGCTCCTCCAGCTCCAACCCCTGCCACGGGCACGGGC